ATCCATCGAGGGGAATGCACTGGTATTGAGAGATCAATTCGGTATAGCCTCGCTATAGAAATAATTGTTTATAAACCGGTGTGTTCATGCTCCCCCCCAATCTCCCTCTTTCTCTCAGGAGTACATCATATCGTCTGTCCGTCGGTGCACGCACACAATGCACAAAAGTGAAAAGTTGCGCGGCTGTAAAAGTCTTGTCTCGGCGAGGCCTTTGGCGCACAATCGTGACATTATTTCCCGTACTGAATGCCAACGCCGTTAGGTACATTGTTCAGGCGCGACTGAATGAGCACCGATTAAAAATAAATGGCTATATAACACCGCTGACGTAGGGAAGCAATTTTAGTTATTAAAGAGGGACGCTCCCGAGAAATAAAATGTTGCGTCCGAAGTAAAGGTGAGGTATCGATAAAATGACCAGTTTTTCTGCGACTCGAGCCCGATATACCCTTTCCTTCCCTTGCGTAAGAAGGATAAATTGCAATTAACCCTAGAACGTCACGTTGGAGTATAATGCGTCACGAGCCTTCAGAAAATGCGGTAAAACTCTCCCGTGACATTCTTCGCTAATTATTTTTAAACAATGATTTTTAACTCCTTGATATCTTTGCGAGACTTTCAAGAATCCCATCAATCTATTTCCCAATGACAGGAGAGATATCTTGAGAAAATTGATTTGTGATTGAAACTACTACATATGTTTCTTACACTCCAACATGGTATCGATTCCTGAAATGTGACATTCGAAGAAACTATTTCATTTTCATTAACATTATTATTTAATATCAGATATTTAATAAAGAAAAGAGAAGATGTACGTTTTTATATTTCTTGCATAACTTTATTTTAGATGATTGTTAGAATTAGAGTAAATTTTTTTTTCTAGAATGCTCAATAAAAGAAAAACGACGAACTCGCGTAATTTTATGTCGAAAAAAGCATTGGTATGATATAAATTAAATTTCCCAAACGAAAAAAATAATTCAAGTCCAGCACCGTACGATGAAAATATGCCGCTTAAGAAATTATACCATTTGTAATTTTTTATCACTTTCTCTGAAGAATCGTAGATTTATTTAACCCTTCTGTATTTAAGAAGTTGCGCAAGATATACAGAGAAAAGGTCAATGCTTCCAGAGACGATAATAGTCATTATTTTAAGCAAAAGGGAAGAGAAATATTTCGTTAATTTATTGGACGAGAATTCAATGTAAATAAATAGCGCGCAGAGAAATTAAAACTATTGCGAATTATTTTAACAAACATTTGTCGGTAACAAACAAATGACAGTGGCAAATGTTCGTCATATATAAATAGAAAAATTGTATACAAAAAGACTAATAAATCATTGTCTATCGTTTACGTTAAAAATTGTTGCGAGTTGTTTACGTCTGTCGCCGATTCGATATCATACTATTGTACGATTACGAAATTTTTATCCATAAATAAGATTTATTTTCATTGTAGCAAAAAATATTTCTATGTGAAAGAGATAATTCTCTCTCTCTCTCTCTCTCTCTCTCTTTCTCTCGTGTTAAACTTCATCTCTGGTTTTTATCTCGCTTGCGAGGCAACACAAAATATATGGCCAATTGCCAGCAAAGTTTTTCGGAGTTATATAGGATGCTTTAAAATTGTAAATATAAATTTTTATATCACATGTAAAATTCGGAGTATGTTCTTACTATTCACTCCAAAAATGGCGAAGATATTCTCCTCAAGCAATAAGATATAAGAATAGAACATTTTCTGATAAATTTCACAGACGCAAACAAGAAAACATATTTTGTTAACTTTTTTATTTACTTTTTATATTCAATACAAAAAAGAATTTTACTTCAACAAAATTGGAATTATTAGATCGAGATCAAAATTATTAGATCGAGATCGAGTGCAAAAAAAGTGATGGATCTCTTCGCACTTTGGTTAAACATAACAATCTATTTCTCGCCCTAATTTTGAGACGACCTGTACAACTTTTCCTCCCTCATAAATATTTTCGGTTATAATATAATATACAATGCGGTCGAAGTATCGACGCGTCATGAAGTTACACTCCGCCCGGAGTCACGCACGCCGTTTCGGTGTTTACGCCATCGCGTCTATATAAAAGCGATTAACGCGCGATTAACGACCGCGTGTTTTTAGCGATCGCGTGATTGCGCAATCAGCGATGGTGTTTCAGCGATTCAATGAGCTCTATTTTTAAACCCGGCTCACGGCCCGAGGAGCTCACGGGGCTTTTTATCGGCTTATCTGTGTTTATCGCCCACCGCGAATAGGAGAGGAAACTCGCGTATATTTGTTGATCGTTAGCGCGACGATTGTTCGCCACGTACACGTGGAATAATTTGGCGGCTTTTATTCGGAGTGTAACATTATATGTGGCGATTATTTATAGAACCGGTGCCGGAATCTTGAAACGAGAGAAAAAAGAGAGAATGAGTAAGTAAAAGAGAGAGGAGGGGGAAGAAAGGGAGGTAGGAAGAGAGGGAAGGAGGGGGGGGAAGCTTATATGAAACGCACGTGTCCAAAAAGGCATAATTACGGCTAATGAATGCGTTGGCTAATATCGAAGGTAAAATATCGATACTTCGATAGTTCAAAGTGTCATAAGTATTCTTACATGAGTCGTGGGGTGCAATGGCGATGTGTGTAAGCCATGAATAAAAATGTATAAAAAATATATCTTTTATTATTATATATATATATATATATATATATATATATATATATACTACTCGGTACTCGTACATACATATGATATATATGACTGCGGCCTAACATGAACTCTTAGATTCTTCATTTTATGATGAAAAGGTGATACGGTAAAGTCACTATATTTTATATTAAATAAAATTGGAGAGAGACGATGAGTTTTAATATCGAAATATCAAGTCATTTATAGTTTTTGAATTGATGAAAAATTAAAAATGAACCTTTCCTAAGCTAAGCGTAAAAAAAGATCAAACAACAATCCTAACCTTTCCTTAAATCTCTATATAAAAATATTTTAATATAACAGAATTTTAATTTATTTATTTGCCTCAATGTATTTAACAAAAATTAAAGATGATAAAAAAATAATTTTCCTCGTCGTTTTTCTTAGAATTCCAATTTGAAATTCATTAAAACGTTTGAAATAATTAATTCCGTAGAATGACATCTGTTTAATGTAAATACATAAAACATAGGTACTTCAAATGCGTACGTATATACACGATTTCATTATGAATTGCTGATTTCAATGCGATTACCGTAATCGGCAGAATTATAAATCGGACAAAACTGAATATCGACGTCTTGTAAGGCAGTAAGTGCCACTGGCTCGCTATTTAACGTGAAATAGACGGAATAGACGGAATATTCGAAACTGGGGATTAATGTAATATTCCGCTCGATCGAACGATGTGCACTACGGAAGCATACGGACACACACACACACACACACACACACACACACACACACACACACAACACACACACACACACACACACTACTATATATACTAGTGTGTGTGTGTGTGTGTGTGTGTGTGTGTGTGTGTGTGTGTAGTACTACACATACCGTACACAACGAGCGACACTACGTGTAGGATTCGTACGGAGAATATGCAGATGCTCTCTATATATCGAACGCGCGTAAATTTACTGTAACTTGCCAATGAGGATAATTAAAGATTATCAGGATACATCCTGGAACAACGTTCTCCTACTATGCGGCCGACTAAATCGATTGCGCCCCGTTAAACGGCGATACGCGACAAGATTCATTACTTGTCGTTACCCGCCTGATTACAATATGACACGTATATGTATAAA